AGAGGCATTTTAAAATATTTTCACATATATGTGTGTCTAAATTTTTATTTGTAGAGATGAAAATTCATGAACATAATAAATTTAAATATTTAAAATAAAATTATGAATATAAAATAAATTGAAAAATATTTAAAAATAATTAATACTTGATAATTTAATTGAAGTCCTCAATTCAACGAAAATAAACAATTCAAAGAAATGAAAACCAACCAGAAAAAAATACAAAGATTTTTTTTATCTTGAAATGAGAGAAAATATATTTTCTTTCATTTTAAAATAAAACAATAATATAAAAATATATATTAATTCTTTTTAATAAATGATATCTAAGTGATTTTTAAATATGTAATTTACCCTAATTTAATATATATATTTTTGGGTTGGGGGCATAGCCCCACTAGTCTCCACTAAGTTTCGCCCATGTATACTAGATAGATCTTTTTGTACATCTTCTTTTTCGTCCATTTGCTCCTTTGCTTAAGGCTAAACTTGTTCTGGTTCTTGTTTTTTGAAACCGAGTATGATGTTTTACGATGTTGCTTGAACATGTGTGGAAGACCATGTTTTCCAATATACTGTTATTCTCTTCTTGTCGTTTGTTGCTCGCTCTGTCTACTTCTACATCATCCATGGCGTCTTCAATGTGAGTACAACACCACTTGCAATGCCCACATCTTTTAGGTTCTTTATTTTTCTTTCGAATTCTCATATCACAATGAATTTGAGTAAATTTTGAACAATTAAATTTCTTATAAAATCAAAGCTAATTTAATTGTAGAACACACATTTGACACGTATACTTAAGACGCTTCCATTAGAAAGCACTTTATTTGAAAGGATAGCATTTAAATAAATATTAGTAGAATGGTGACATTTTGATATTTAATAATTTTCAGAGTAATTTGTGGGCTAAATTTTTCATTTTATTGCGGCATCATCAGAATGGATAATAATGAGCCAAAAACTCAACTTTCAAAAAATTGGGGACTAAGTTGAAAAAGTTATCGAATTTAAAGATTAGAAGTTACTTTATCTATTTATTAAAAGACCGTGTGCTTAACAATAATAAAAGACGGTGATGAACAGTGGTGAGAAATGCATATTTTTGTACCTTTCATTCTTTTTGTCCTTACTTAGTAATTGGGGGGCGAGTCAGAAAACTTTTATTGGGGAGGTCAAAGATTGTATTATAAATGTTTAGATATTAAAAAACAATTTTATCATTTGATTAATCGAAAATTTTATAGTTGTAAAGATTTAAAAAATAGTTTTATCAAATTAAGGGATCAAAGAGAAAATTTGCTTTTACATTAATTGAAAACTTTAAAATTTCAAGGACCAAATGAACAATTTCTACCAATCCAGGGAGGTCAAATTCTAAGATGAGCTTTCGGTAGTTGCTGAACCAAATTCCAAAGTGCATAGTTCAAATAACAGAACTGAAAGTAGAAATTAAGTCATGCAAAAGTCATATATACACACTTAGCATTCACATTTTATGACAATATTTATGATTGATGTGCTTTATAATATATATATATATATCAGCTTTCTTTGAAAATAAAAATAAATGGGTATAGATTAAATTAATAAAAATATATTACTCAATATATATTTGTGTTGAATATTTTAAAATGTTATAGAGTTAAAAATACAAAGCATATATCATTTATTTTGTTATTGTTTTTTCCTAAATTATAAATGATGTTAGAAATTTGTTTTTATGTTATTTTATAATATATATTATGATTAATACATTTTCACAAAATTAATTTCAATCACAATTTAATTAAAATAACATTTTATTAAAATTATAACATTTTACTAGTGGTTAGGCATTAAACCCTTTTTTTTTGTTACCGTCCTGATTTTAAGTCTTCGTCTTGACTAATTCGGATCGACCCAAATCGTAGACATGTCTTTAGTGGGTGAGTCTCTCGACAGAGATTTTCTGCATACACAAATACTCGAACTCGAGAGTTTGCTTAAACAATATTACGATGCTTACCACTTGAACCAACCATATTGGTGGTATTAAATCTCTTTCTAGGTTTCAATTTAATCCCTGACATCTTATATTTTCTTATTAACAAGAAAAAGGCATGTATTATCATCTTAGTTTGAATAGATAAAATGACATGTGGATATTGACTCGGTTTTTACCGGTGTAATGATCGAAATGAACTATTTCTTAACAACAGTAATTCCAATAAAAAATCAATTTCATTGATCAGAGTACGAGTATTTAAAAAATTCAGTGACTACCAGTGTAGTTTATCCGAAAGATAATGAAATTAAATAAAAATTTAAAATAAAAATTAAATATTAAGCTCTTTGATTTGATCCCCGGTGCATATCATTGACTCGGTCTTGTTGAATACAAAAATGAAAGCATAATCTCAATAAAAAAAACATTCACACTTAGGGGTCCTTTCCCTAATATTTTCGTCCTATTTGGTGAATTGGAAAACCCAACGCTCCAAGGCAAAGCAAAATAATTCATAAGAATTTGCAAGTGTTAATTTTAATTAGACCACTATGAAGTTGACCACTTGTGTCAAACATTACCAAATTTGGCTATAACTGAGTCACTCAAAAGTTGTCAACAGTGTTTTAAAAACCGAATCGAACCGGCCGGTTCAACCGGAAATCACTATCTAGTTCGGTCCATTTTATCCCGATTCTAGTGAATCGCAAGGAACCGTTCGAACCGGCTTTAAATCGCTCGAACCGGACCGGACTGTGAACCGGTTCAACCTAGATTTTTTTGATTTTTTATGAAATGTTTTTGGTATTTTTATTTAATTTTTTAAATAATTATGACGTCGTCCGATTTTTACGACCGGTTCGAACCAGTAGCAAAGCCAGTTCGCTGACCGATCCGGTTCTGAAAACCATAGTTGTCAATGTATGACTCGATGTTTTCGCCATATGAATTCCACATTTCACACCTTGGATTTTTTCAAAAAAATTGTTTTAGCTATAATTTTTTTTTAATTTTAAAACATTCAAGTGTTTGGAAGATGTTGTGTAAACCATTTTTCACTAGTTAATAATTTTTTTAGAAATTGTTTATTGCAAATATAAAATATAATAAATAATATTATTTATTATAAAAACTTAATATTATTATTTTAAAAATATTAGAATAATTTATTTAATAATATTTATGCCAATATTATTTCTATAATTTTATAAATAAAAATATTAACTCTAGTATATTCTATTAAAATAAAAATATGATAAATTATATTGAATATCTATAAAAATAAAAATATTATATTGTATTTTAAAATTATTAATAAATATATTTTAAGGAATTCTTATAATATTATTAGACTATTATATTAATATTAAATACATAAATAAAAGTATCCACTATTAATAATTCAATAATATTATTTTCAAGAAATTAATAAATAATATAACTTTTATTAACAATTTATTATATATTATTAAAATAAGAATATATTATAATATAATTGAGTATATTATTGTAATAATAATATTATTATATTATATTATTAAAAATATTAATAAATATATTTTAAATATGCTAATAATTAATATTTTTATTAAAATGATACTAAAATATCATATTAATATTAAATTGATAAAATAATATTATTTTGAGTATTTATGCTTTGAAGTTAAATTTTTAAAAAATGATTTACGAAAAATTAAACCGTAAGTCATTTTCCAGAAAATGCAAAGGAAATTCTGTTGACAATGGAAATGTTTTACATTCACTAATCTATTTTCCTCCAACCAAACACTGAAAAGTGAAGAAAACGTTTTTCGAAAATTATTTTACATGAAACAAACGGACCCTTAATTTATACACTAATTATTAACTTGAGTATGATGTACAACATATATAAATTATATAGATCAACACGAATCAAGCGATATCAGTGGTTAAAAGATTTGTTGTTATCTTTTGGAGTCACGGGTTCGAACATCGTATATGTCAGGGGTATGGGCGTTTATTGTCAAATGACTGAGATTCTTTGAAAAATATTAACTTGTATACACTCCAAATTTATCAAAAAAAAAGTTATATAGATCAAACTTTAAACATTGAGCGCATATCGTATGAGCAATTTAGATATAACTTATTAAAAAAATCTAGAAGAATTAGTTAGTTTAAATTTTTATCTTTAACAGTTGATTTTCTTTTGTCTTTTAACGCGTTATATCTTTGTTATTCATGAGGTGCAAACATACGATTATATACATCTTAATTCAAATCCTAATCTCAAATAAGAGGGGAAGGGAAAGATTAGAGGAGAAAATAAGAGTGGTCTTAGTGGGTCTATAACCTATCATCAATATATTTTTAATATAGAACATTGGATAAATTATACATTTAGTATCTAAAATATTATTTTTGTTTCATTTTGGTATTTAAATTTTATTTTTTCAAAAACATACCTAATGTTTAGTTTAATTTTTATTTTGGTAACCTATTGTTGAAAACTTAATGAATTGATGTGTAGTAATTTTATGGGTAAATTACATCATTCATCACTCAACTATCTTTTCACTCCTATTTTGGTCATTAAAGTTTAAACATTTTCAATTTAATTACTCAACTTTCAAATTATTCACATTTTAATCATTCTAATTTATTTTAATAATATAGGCGGAAACGAAAATGAAACATAAACTAAACGTTAGGTATAATTTAAAAAAAATAAAGTTTATGTATCATAATAAAATAAAAGTAATAGTTTAAGAACTAAACATGTAGTTTACTATAAAAGATTTGAATCACAATTGAAAATAAAGGAATTATAAAATTATATTAAAGGGGCTAATTTAAAAAAAACATTCTATAGGATCTTTCACAAAATTTAACCAAATGCTTATAAGAAGAAAGTAAATCCGTGTATAAAAAAGTCAAAAATAAGTTCTGATTTTGGGTATGTAATGGCTACTCTTCTCTTTCTCACTGTAATTTTCACATAAATATATATAATTTCATCTTGTTTTGGCTGTGGTTACTGATCTCTTCTTCTTAGCTTCACCATCATTAAATTATATATATATATACTTTTTATTTATATTATGTGTAAAATTCGGTTTTTTGTGTTAGTAAACGACAGAACCCGGCATCTCTTACAATTTTCCTCCCTTCTCAGATCCAATCCTTTTTCTGTCTCCCAACCTGGTAAGCTTTTAGATTAACATTTTTTAGTATTTTGATCTCCGAATTTTGATTTTTCTTCTCGTTTTGCTAATTGGGTATTTTCCCTGTTTTCTGGGTTTTCTTTATTATAGTCAAGCACAGTCAAAATCCTTTGTTTTTGTGTCTGATTTGTGCTTTTGCATATTTGTAGAGATGCTGTGAGCTGGGTTGCTGCTTTGTTTGAAATTTGTATTAATGGATTTGCTTGCTTGCTTGTCTTCTTGCTGTTTTTGCAGTTTGGTGAGACTTGGGGTTAATGGACTGGAGCTTTAGCATGGATAATAATTGGTACCTTGAATGCTTTTCTGGGACTTGGCTAGTTTATATCTCTAGGTTTAGACTGCTATGAATTCGATAAGTAGCTAAGAGTCTCCTATCAGTTGAATTGGTTCAGTTTTGTTTGAAGTTAGGAGCTTTTGATTAGATTTTCTTTTTAGATTGGTTTCATAGTTGGGAGTTTGTTGGCTTTGTTTTATGGAAAATTTCTGTCAACGCTGAAGTGTAAGATTCGCGGTGATTGGCGTAAATGGGTGGGCTTTGCTCGAGGAGATCCACTGTAGATAATGCTCCCAGTGGAGGCTTTCCCAATGTGAATGGCCATTTTGGTCGAGGGTCTGGAGGGGTTGTTCAGACCCGGGAACTGCCCGCGAAGATAAACACCATTCCGGCTCCTCCTGCTGAGGACAGTGCAGACAATGCAGGCATGGAGTTAAAAGAGCCCTTTTCATTTCCAGAGATCAGTACGGGTCCATATGGTATGAATCCAGATGACATTATCAATGATGGGATTCCTCGTTTGCCGAGGGTGCTATCTAATAAATCTAGATCAACCAAGTCTAAGCAGGTTGCTGTTGTGAAGGTAAGTTCAAATTTTTGAATTATGTAGCGTTGAAGTAAACTGTTATCATGAATTATATTTAAACTTCAAACACTGATACCGATGGTTCATATGGTGTAACTCCACGAGAAAACTGTGTTTCGTGATAGAAGGAAGCTTTATAACAAATGCCTTATGGGGCTATTGAGATATCTTTCTTGTATATATACTATTCCCGTAGATTCTTCTTTAAAAGGCAACTCACCATAATTAGGATGAGCATTTTGCCAATCTTTTTCACTTTGATTGTTGTTAATGTATTTGGAGAACGAATTGAAATGAGACTATAGTTCTGAACTATAAACTAAAATGATTCTAATTTGTTCCTGGTAATCTTTTCCTATGCCATTGAGTCATCAGTATGAGTGCAGTCATACTCATGATAACTTCCATTATTTTCCCCTTTTCCCCTTAAATATGTATAGAACGAGTCAGGTTGTTGATTGTTCTAATATTTTAATGCTTTGGATTCTAGCATTATATAATTGTCGGTTGTTAGTTCCCAGCTGAGATTAGAGCAAAGAGGGATGCTTCTGGTTCTACTGTTATGAATTGCAAACTTCATTCAATGAGTATAATATATCAAACATGCTTCACAGTTTTTCAGAAGATCAATTGGTTGCCTATTTTTGCAGGTTTCCGAGGTTAGCTCTCTTTTAGGTAGAGCCGGTACTGCTGGGTTTGGAAAGGCGGTGGATGTTCTGGACACCCTTGGTAGTAGCATGACGAGTTTGAACCTTGGCAGTGGCTTTACCTCGGGGGTAACGACGAAAGGGAATAAAATATCAATTCTATCTTTTGAAGTTGCAAATACTATTGTTAAAGGTGCCAATCTGATGCAGTCGCTTTCTAAGGAGAATATTAGACATTTAAAAGAGGTGGTCCTTCGGTCAGAAGGAGTACAGAATTTAATATCACGAGATATGGATGAACTCCTGAGAATTGCAGCTGCTGATAAGAGGTAGATAATGCAGAGAATGCCATATTGCTTTGAAAACGATTCTGTTATATAATTTGTTAATATTCTAAAACGGTGTTTATGTTCTCGAAGAATATAAGAGGCTCATTTTTTTCCCCAACTTCAACAGGGATGAGTTAAAAGTTTTTTCCGGAGAGGTGGTACGTTTTGGGAACCGTTGTAAAGACCCTCAATGGCACAATTTGGATCGTTATTTTGAAAAGTAATGTCTCGGCTTGTGCTCTTTAAGTATTATCTATGAATTAGAGTAAGATACAAATATTCATACCTGCTCTATCTTTTATACTTTCAGGTTGGGTTCGGAACTTACACTTGAAAAGCAATTGAAGGAAGAAGCAGAGCCAATAATGCAACAGCTGATGAGTTTTGTTCATTATACAGCCGTAAGTTCTTGGTCTTACTGCTATAACAAGAAAGCTGCTCCCTAAGATTATATTGTCTAAACCAAGATGATTTGTATATCTTCCGTCTCGTACGAAGTTGTGAAATTATTTTTTTGCCCCCTCTCCCCCCTCTTCTGTTTTGAGACATTGAATGATATGGTACATGGAAAATAGATTGGTTTTTGTTTGTGTGTGTGTGTGTGTTTGTTTTGGGGGTGTTGGGGGGGTCACTAGTCTTTCGTCTGAATATGAGCTGGTGGGTAGATATCATAATTGTAAGGCTTGTTAGGATTAACACGGCACAGTTCAGAATTCCTTCTCTGAATTATCTATTTAGAATTTGTTTAAGCTATATTGATGCCATTTTGTTTTCTTTGCAGGAATTATATCATGAGTTGCATGCCTTGGACAGATTTGATCAAGATTATCGACGTAAGCTTCAGGAAGAGGATAGTTCAAATGCTGCTCAAAGGGGTAACCTGTTCTTTATCTCTCTATTATAATTTTTAGTTTTTTGTGACATATACTTCTAGGTTAACAAAGAGTTAATATTCGTGTTTCTACACTAATATGCACATAGGATTTTGAATAGAGATACAGAAAAAGGTAATTGTTTCTATATATCAGCAGCTTTTTTCTTTTTCATCGGCCTTCTACACATTCTAGTGCCCATTTTAATGACACTTCGTTTGTAAACTGTCAAGTTCTACGTGCACTGCTATGTTGTTTCCTTTGAATTCATTCCACCTTCATATTTTTTTTTTTTTTTGATAGGAAAAGTAGGTCTCATAAAAACCTCCTTCTAAGTAGCCCTTACCATGAGGTCAGAACCTACTAGGGGAAGGAGGAATAGAGAACCTTAATATATTGATAATGTAAAAATTACATAAAACTAGAACCACTCCTTTAAGATACATAAAACTTAAGCACACTCTTATAACGCCTTGATTAAAAACCTCCGAACTCAGTACTAAAAAAGTGACCCACTACCCAATCCCCTCCTTTGCAAGCAAATCTGCCTCGCAATTACATCTTCTCGGAATCCACCTCACAATGACCTCATACTCAGAAACCGCATCCGCAATATCCTTGACAAAATTTAAAAGAAAAGGAGGAACTGACTCCTGATATTTCAACCACTCCACAGCTAGCTTGCAATCAGATTCAATAATAAGCCTTCCCTTCAATACCCATTCTGATGACACAAAGATGTCTATTCCTCTTTTGATAGCTTTTAACTCTGCTAAAATAATAGGAGTAGGCCCTATTTTTTCTGAAAACGACATCAATTTAATCCGATTCCAATCTCTAAGAATGCCCCCAATTCCTGCTAACAACCCAACCCTACTAACTGCTCCATCCACGTTAAACTTAAAAAAATCGACTGGAGGAGGACTCCAGTAAACCACAGGCCTGTTCGAATCAAGAGAAGCTGAAATATTATCAGCCAATGAAGGATCACCAATTAGAGAGTCCACTTGAATAGAGGATAAAGGATACTTAGCTAGGAACCATTTCGCAAGCCTTAACCTGACTGTGAAAAACAATGAGGATGTGTCCAGCTTGCCTCTTTCAAAAACAATTTCGTTTCTCATCTTCCAAATCGACCATAAAACAGCCCCCGGAATAAACTTCCACATATTAGAAAATGGCCTAAGAACAGACCATGAAATTATAATTGATGAAGGATCAGTAGGTAAGGCTAACTTGATACCCCAGTAGGCTATGATTCTGTTCCATAGTACCCAGGAAAACTGGCAGTAAATAAACAGATGATGAACTGATTCCTCTGCTTGATTGCAAAAGGGGCATAGAGAGTCCTCCCCTAAGTGAACCCCCCTTTTCTTCAATTCCCCTCTAACCGCTACTTTATTAAGTGATAGTTGCCAAAGGAAAACCTCTACTCTAGGAGGAACCAGACCTTGCCAAACACATTTGTTCCACCTAAAGTTATCCTCATCCACTGAGTAGAAAGATTTCGTGCAAGCTTTAACGGAATACAAACCCTCGCCCGCACCAACCCAAAGCATGCAATCCTCCAAAGATTCATTTAATTTGATAACATTGAGCTTGTCCAATAGATCAACCAGCTGAGCCACTTCCCAATCGCATAGATTCCTCCTAGTCTTAATATTCCACTCCCAACCATTCAAATCAAAACTACCAAATTCAGCAACCTTACCCCCTTGATTTGTTGACAGAGCAAAAATCCTAGGAAAAAGAACTTTCAATGGAAAATCCCCCAACCATGTATCTTTCCAAAAGAAAATCGAATTGCCATTCCCAACTTGTAACCTCGCATGAGATCTAATGCATCCTCCAAAGAAATCATCCTTCATGTAGCTATTCACAATACCTCTCCAAATCCAAGAGTCCTTATGGGAGGAGACTTTATTGACATCCATAGAAAGACAACTAACACTATGTTTAGAACATAAGAACTTTTTCCACAAAGATTCTTTTTCGTTGGCAAACTTCCACACCCACTTTCCCAATAGTGCTCTATTAATAAGCTTCAAATCAACAACTCCTAGACCACCTCCACACTTCGGTTTACAAATTTTATTCCAACTCACCCAATGCATTTTCTTCTTTTCTTCTCCTCCACCCCATAAAAAATTCGCCATCAAAGAGTTTAATTTTTGACAGATTTTAGCTGGAATCTTGAAAATAGCGAGATAAAAGATAGGTAAAGAGGATAAAACCGACTTAATAAGCACCAATCTACCGGCCATAGACAAAGAAGAAGCTTTCCATCCCGCCAATTTCTTATCAAAGTTAGCTAGGACTGGCTCCCACAGTTTCTCACAGTTTCTTTTAGCCCCTAGCGGAAGGCCTAAATAGACTGTCGGAAATGAACCAATAGAGCAGCCAATGTCCCTAGCCCAAATTCTCAGTGTGTCCTCCTCCACATTAATACCATACAATTTACTCTTAACTAAATTAAGATGAAGCCCCGTCATAAAACTAAAAATCATCAACACTCGTCTAACGTTTTTAATTTGAGTGATGGAGGCTCGACAAAAAATAATTAGGTCATCCGCAAACTGAAGATGGGTCAAATTGAAACTGTTTTGCACATTTCCAAAAGAAAACCCTTGAAATAATCCTAATTCCACAGCTTTATTTAACATCATATGAAGGAGTTCACCAACCACATTAAACAAAAGAGGAGAAAGACTACATCCTTGTCGCAAACCTTTAGCAATATGAAACTCTTTTGTAGGAGACCCATTCAGTAGAATAGATATAGAAGCTGTAGAAATACACTTATTTATCCAAGAACACCACCTTTCTCCGAAGCCCATCTCCTTCATAAGCCTTAACAGAATCTGCCAATCCACGGTGTCATAAGCTCTGCTAAAATCCACTTTGAAAACAACCCCCTGCAGCCCTTGTTTCCTCCAATAATCTATGCCTTCATTTGCTAAACAGGCGCAATCCAACAATTGCCTCCCCGGAATAAACGCAAACTGTGTAGGGCTAACAATATCTTTAACACAAGAAGAAAGTCTTTTCGAAAGAACCTTAGAGAGAATCTTATACAAGCTGCCCACTAGACTAATAGGTCTATAATCTTCAATACTCTCAGGATTACCTTTCTTTGGAATCAAGGTAATAAAAGCATGATTCACTCCATGAACCCACCGCTTTCCATTGTAGAAATCTGAAAAAAACTCCATAATCTTCACCTTCAACAAATTCCAATACTTCTTGTAAAAACCCATTGTGAAACCATCCGGCCCTGGTGCTTTTGCACTATCCGAAGATGAAATTGCTTGCCACACTTCTTGCTCTGTAAACACCTCTTCTAGAGAATCACTTTGAACTTGAGACAACTGTTTAAAATCAAAATTCAAGCCCTCAACTTCCAGTGTAGTTTTTTCATTATATGCATTCTTGAAAAACTTAAACACACTGTCTTTTATCTTTTCTGGATCCGAAATAACTTTGCCTTTAAAATTGATCGAATGAATAGTGTTGAATCTATTCCTTTTCAATGCACTAAGATGAAAAAACCTTGTATTCCTGTCTCCATCTTTAATCCATCTGTTTCTAGATTTTTGAAACCAAATTCTCTCCTCAATCCTTAACAGTCTCCATAATTCCTTTTTAGACTCAATCAATTGTGCCCAATCCCCTGCAGACTGCTTTCCACCTTGACACTTTAAATCCAGACTGTTAATTTTAATTTCCAGCAACGAAATTGACTCTGACAGCCCTAAATGTCCACTTCCAGACCAGTTTCTGATTTCATTTTTTGCACCCTGCAGTATTCTGAAAATTCCACCACTATTGTTCTTCTTCTCTTCTACTTCCAGTGAGTCTGCAACTAAATCATCAAAACCTTGTTCTTCTAATAGAAAATTAAAGAACCTAAAAGGTTTTGGACCCCAATTTGTAGATTTATCCTCCAGCAAGACTGGATTATGGTCTGAAATAGATTTCGGTAAAATCGACTGCACAATGTTAGGGAAAATCTTAAGGAATCTTGCGCAGATAAGGAACCTATCCAATTTCACCCATGTTGAAGATTCTCTATTACTGCACCAAGTGAAAGAACCTCCTGACATAGGCAAGTTAATGAGATTGGCTTTTTGTACGAATGACCTGAAAATATCCATAGTATGCCAATTTTGTGATTTGCCTATCTTTTCTTCTGAATCAAGATACGCGTTGAAGTCTCCCCCTAGACACACTGGTAAATTTAGAGCTCTAACATACTTCAGCAACTCCCCATAAAAAACCTCCTTCTCAGCTTCGACTGGAGGCCCATAAACATTAATAGCTACAAACTCCATAGAACCATGCTTAGATTTTCCTACTAACGCCAGAAACCTACTATGCACAAACTGATCAATGACTTGAACCACGTTCTCATTCCACAATGTAATCAATCCCCCCGATGACCCCTGTGCTGGAGAAACCAACACCCCCTTTAACAAGTTACCTCCAATCCTTCTAAAAATCGCCCCATGGCATCTTTCCAACTTAGATTCTTGAATGAAAAGAAAAACTGGTTTCGTCTTCTTGACTAACCTTGCTGCAGCTACACACTTCTCCCTCCTCCCAAGACCCCTAATGTTCCACGAAATAATACTAAAATTATTCATAAAAAAGAATTACTCCCCCTACACTCAGCTAAAACTGAGCAGCCTTCATCCACCCCTAACTGCATCTGTCTCTTGACCAAGACATAATAATTTATCAATAAAAGCCTCCTTCCCTTCCTTAAATGAAATACCTAACATCTCACACACTTCCCAAGTATCCACTGCTTCCTTCAGTAATTCCACAAAAGAGGAAGAAGAAGCAGTCGAAATATTAACCAAGTCAATAGCTTCAGAAATTAAGGCTCTCCTCTTCCTTCTCTTCCTTCTCTTTTCATTTCCTTTCCCTGAAGCATTCACAGAAATAGCTTCCACCCTTTCAACACCATCATTACAAATGGTAGGGACCGTAGATGTATTCTGAAAATCGGCAGAACCATTGAAGTCCTTATCTTGTCCCTTTCCAATACTATTCGTAGGAAACTGCTGTATACTTCTAGGAACAGAATTGTTCTGCTTAAGCTTCGGAGAAGCCATGGGACAGAAGACATCATCTTCAATAGCTGGACACAACCATATTCTTCTATCTCTTGACCTTTTATAAACTCGGGCATAGCGTCCTCTTCCCCTTCTGCCAACAGGAGCACTCCTAATTGACAAACCTATCATAATATCTTCATCTTCCATATCCCCATTTTTCCTTCTTCTATTGATACACTTCTTTCTTCTGCAAAAAATTCAGACAGATTCTGCTCCTTATTCTTGTTTGCTAGCCTAGCCCAATTCAACTTCACAGCAGGGCCAGCTGGAATAATTTTAGTAACAGGAGAATAAGCCTCCCAATTAGACTCCGAATGGGCTGAACTCTGGGCTGCAACCTCTCTCAGCCCAAGGCCTGCAAACTCCCCCCTGGTATTTAATTCAAATTCAAACTTGTCTGACACCCCATTACTATTGGGCAGAGTGTCTGACTTATTTTCCAAATCCTGATCTCCACCTTCTTCTAACGTCCTCCTTTCTTGACTTTTCTGAAGCCACGTGTCAACTTTTGACCAGAAACCTTCCGCAGAGTTCTCCCTGTTGTCTCCTACCTTATCTTTGTTTCTACCATCTTCCTCCTTTGACACTTCGTCATTGCAGTTGCCAAATGACACAGTCTGCCTCACGTCTCCATAAGCTTCAGAGAAAGCATTAGAGCTGGATCCCACATTAACTTTAACTTTAAACGATCTGCCATAAGATCCTACAATAACAGATTCTTGTACATCGAACGGACTTGCCACCCTTAGCAGCATTCTAGCCGAAGAGAGGTCATCTCTGTTTCTTGTTCCCTCCGGGATACAAACAACCTTTCCCCACTTTCCTCCAAGCTTCTCTAGAAAAGGAATACTCCAACTAAGAAGCGGTAACCCAACCAACTCGACCAAGCAATAAGCCAAAGGGACTCCATCTTCACTCAACAATGGATCTACCCAATCAAACCAGCAGTAAAGTTTCTCTCTAAGACTCGACCACGCCTTCAGGAACTCTTCATTTGTATTGAAGATAATAATGCATGCGTTCCTAACATATCCCCACTTTACTATCTTGACCTGGAACCCCTCTTTTGCCAAAGCTCGCACCACCATAACAGGCTGAAATGTATCTTTAAAAATCCCTGTTAAGGAATTTTTCACCCAGCAAAAATCTTCTGAAGGGATGTGCATATCCCAGACATTTCTTACTCCTTTTGCTTTCTTCTGACCTTCCCTGTTCACCCTTCTTTGTTGATCCACACTCCTACTGTTATCCACATTCACAACCTCCTTATACGTTCTGCCATCTCTCAAACTTCTCGGTGACTCCAAGTCAACCTGCTGTCTGCCATTAGCTTCTCTACATGGCTTAATTCCTTCCAGCTGAGATCTTTTAACCTCTGCATCTCTCTTCCGGCCCCTCTTATACTTAGCCACCCCCACAGTGACTCTCTTCCCATCAATCAACGTTCCATTTACATTCATAACTGCTCTTCTGCAACCTTCCTCCACCGCATATTGCACAAAAGCAAACGTTGATGACTTATAATTCGTTTTAACCATAAAACTTGGGATAAAGACCCTCACTATTCTACCATAATGGTTGAAAATCTCTCTTAACTCACTTCTGGTAACTCTCTTACTAAGATTTCCAACAAAAACAGTCCATTCCTCACCGGAGAATGAATGACCAAACGCACCCGCTCTCTTTCTCTCTCTACTTTTCTCACTCATGGTCATACCCCACTGTACTTATTTTAATATAAAACATACTAATTCAAATTCCACCTTCATATTTTTATTGGCCAGTTGCCATTCCGTTGTTGAACTCAGCAAGTCGTTTTTACATTTGCTTTAAGAGGCCTAGGTCAAGTCAAAGACGATATTTCTTGTCCTAAAAAATTGCTGAGCTGTAATTTTTATTGTCTTGTTTCTTGTAAAGATGAAGGTGTTATACATTAAGTTTTCCCCCCTTCGATGGTAATTTTACGGAATATAGTTAATGTCATTGAAGCCCTTCCGTTTTGAGATTATTTTGGTTTTGGCATGTAGGAGACAACCTTGCAATATTGAGAGCAGAGTTAAAGAGTCAAAAGAAGCATGTGAAAAATTTGAAGAAAAAATCCCTTTGGTCTAGGATTTTGGAACAGGTACTAACAAAGCTCTATGCATATTCTTTCTTAGTTATTATTTTTCATATATTTATGATATTGTAAAAATTGCATTGTTCGTCATCCTTTTTTGTCGTTTCATGGAGTCTAAACTTATGGGAGCTTTTGCACCCGATTTACCAGTTTCGTTTGCTGCTCTATTTTGAAGTTAATATATATTAGTGGAAGTTTTATTCCTTGTATTCATAGGTCATGGAGAAGCTTGTAGATATTGTTCATTTCTTGCACTTGGAGATTCACGAGGCATTTGGTACTGCTGGTAAGAATTCAAAATAATTGAACTCGGAGCATTTGGAAACGGAATTATTTTATCAAGTAATTTGTGAAGTACTTAACTTTATGGTTTGTGCGCTTGCTTAAACCTGTTATATTTATGAAGTGGTGTTGCTTTTTTCCTGTGACGTTGCAGATGGTGATAAATCGGTTAAAGGTTCTGTCAACAGTCATAAGAAGTTGGGAACGGGCGGTCTTGCTTTACATTATGCTAATATCATCACCCAAATTGATACTCTTGTAAGTTAATCATGTTCTGCTGAACCAATCTTCTTTTACGTCTTTGCTTTATTTCCTTTAATTCGCGGTGATTTATTTTTGGAACACTTAGAAAGGATGACAGAATCGCTCCCTTGACAATTTAGCGAGTATACAATATTGTCTTATAGATTAAGGATGGGGGCTACTTTGTATTACTATCTCAATTATACGCCACGAGCATTGAACATGTGGATTTTGTTTAACTCCAATGTACTCCTCAGGTGTCTCGATCAAATTCTGTGCCCCCTAATACAAGGGATTCTTTATACCAAGGGCTGCCACCTACTATAAAGTCCGCTCTGCGGTTCAGACTGCAGTCCTTTCAGTTAAAGGAAGAGGTGTGATGTCCGATAATCTCGATACTTGAAATATTAGTTGCTATTTGCTTAACTATCACACTTTCTTTTTGGATTTTGAAGATGCTGCTAGCCTTAAGCCTGTTTAAAATGTTTACTTGTAGTATGTGCTGACCGATACATTTTCGAAATTTCCTTGCAGCTAACTGTCCCACAGATCAAAGCCGAAATGGAGAAAACATTGCAGTGGCTTGTTCCGATTGCCACAAATACAACCAAGTAAATAGTTCTCTCTCACAGTGGCTTATTTTGTCATTGCCTGCTACTTGTAGTTGTTCTTTCAAGTATATTTCCAACAACTCATCCTTGTTTCTGTTGTTGCAAATTGTTCTAATTAGAGCTCATCACGGGTTTGGCTGGGTCGGAGAATGGGCGAACACCGGGTAACTTCCGAATCTAGATGCCTTTCGTTTCCTCGATGTTATCGGTTTTCAAAACGCGGTTTTTGTTTTAAAATTTTCAGGTCAGAGATGAACCGTAAACCAGCTGGCCAGACTGACTTGCTGAGAATCGAGACGCTACACCACGCGGACAAGGACAAAACCGAAGCTTATATCCTTGATCTGGTAGTGTGGCTCCACCATCTTATTACCCAAGTAAGGGCCAGTAATGGTGGAATAAGATCCCCTGTTAAGTCTCCAATTAGGTCCCTGAACCAGAAGACGATTCAACTATCGACTCACAAGCAGTCCCCGTCGTCTATGTTGACTGTCGAAGATCAAGAGATGCTTCGAGACGTGTGTAAGAGGAAAAAAACACCTGGAATAAGTAAGAGCCAGGAATTTGACACTGCAAACACTAGGTCAGTCAAGCACCATAGGTTGAGTAAAAGCAGTAGCCACTCTCCAACAAGTCAAGCAAAGAAAGACTCCTTCCCTATCCGGAGACTGTCATCGGTTCCTTTCATCGACTTTGATATTAATCGAATCAAGGCATTGGATGTCATCGATCGAGTGGACACACTTCGAAGTCTGTAACTATATGTTGAATTTGTGATTCATAGGCAAAGAGGACTTTTGCTTTTGCTCATGTAGAAGTCCATCTGCTGCAATTTTACGTGTTGGGTGCGAAACCGTTTTGCAGTTGGCGATATTTTTGGCGAGTTTACGAAGCAGATGCCGAGTGATACAAGCTGTTCTTTTTCTTACGAGTGAAAAGTGTAGGGAGTGATGAATGTATTCGTTTAAGGAAGAATTTAAACTGTTTTCAAGCCAATAGTTCTCTCCTTGGTTCTATATGTACAGAATATTTCACCATTTCATAATAATTATAAATCTCTGCTCCTCTTTTTGGTATCATCTCCCTGTTGATGATCCATTCTTTGATGCCATGAATAAACTCAAAAGCTCCAAGTTCGATAGATAAGCGGATTCGTGTATCTTACAACATGATTCAAAGTTCCTCGAGAGAAATATTCGATCTCTTATCTGATGCTGGCTAACATTCAATCTGTTTTCTCTGCTTGTTGGTTGAACTCGTTCGTTCTTTCCTCGACATGGTCATTAAGCGATAACATTCGATCTGTTTTCTCTGATCCTGGCGATAACATATCTCTGGAAAAAAAAAACTATATTCTCTTATTAGGTCTCTACGGTACGCGATTTTCAATTCAACTATCGCAAAGCGAAATGCAACGCGAATTTGCGATAGTGGAGATCGCATTGCGATTTTGTTGGTCATTTTCGCAAATCCAAAAAAAGTTGATCAAAATCGTATATTATCTGGGATTTTTGGTCACTGAGGTTATTTTCTCATTATTAAATTAGCATTAGTTATTTTATCATTTTTATCATGTCACCAGAAAAAATTAAAAAGTTAGTTATTTCTACTAAAATATTAACATCAATTATATTTTATATTTTAATACTATTTTAAATCAAATATATATATATATTTTTAAAAATTAATACATTTGGGGTAAATACAAGGTGATATTTGTTCAAATACTCTCAATCATTGACAATGAACGTACTATGTTAGTGCTCGAACCTGTAACATCTAAGGAGAATAATGAATTCTTTAACCACTAAAGTCAGTTGGTTCGTGCAATATCTATAAATTTTTTTAACAAATAGATAATTTAATATTCGTATATTAAGATTTTAGGGAAGGAAAACGAGTAACCTTCCTCAACACTCATGGGTGTCAAGATCATACTATCCTGCATAATTACAGGACTCCTAAAAGAATCAAATTATGTAAATTAAATTCCTTTAAATTTATACGAACCAAATGACTTAAGTGGTTAAGAGACTTATTATTATTTCTTAATGTCTCATGTTTGAGCACCACATATATAAGAGTGTGAGCATTCATTGTCAAATAGTTGAGAATTTTTAATAGATACTATCAGGGATGAATCTAAGGGGGCGGTCGCCCCGCCTAAAAATTTCAAATTCATATATGTTTTAGATATTTTCTTTGTATTTTCTATTGAAAATATGTTTTCTCCCCCCAAAATTTTATAAGTTCTCCTCTACTTACAATTTTATAAGTTCACCACTTCTAACATAAACTTTGAGTAAGTTTTTGTTTTTTCTATTGAACTATCAAAAGTTGTAAACTGATCACTAAAGTTAACGATTTGTAATAAAATGGCCCCTCAACGTTATCCGTTGTTAGTTTCAGTCACAGAAAACTGAGGTGGACCATTAACAGCTTACCTTGACAGTGGAGCACCACGCTAGAGATAGACGCTTTCTTGATCAAAATTTCTTGAAGGTTAAGCTGAAGAGGATGAGAAAGTGAAGGTTTTGGTTGAGTTTGAGAAGCGTCTATCACAAGGTTTTGATATTACATAAGAAATTGTCTATCTACAAAGTGGCACTCCACCGTCCAAGTAAGCTTTTAATAGTTTACCTCAGCTTTATGTGACTGACGTTAACTAGTTAACGTTAAGTGACTATTTTGTTACAAATAAATAATTTTAGTTGTCAATTTATAATTTTTAAAAGTTTAGTAGGAAAACAAGATCTTACTCAAAGTTTAGTGACCATTTTTATAGTTTACCTTTTATTTTTCCAAATCTAAGGCAACCTGAATAAGCCGATTGCTTATAAACAGTTAAATTTCAATACAACTTGAGAGTGCCGTTATTGTGTGACGTGTCAGGCTCATTAGTCAAAATTTGTGGGCTATTAGAAGTCAACGATTTTGTCTTTATTGTTTAGGTTAAACTATATTAGTGGTTTCTGAACGTTTAATATACCTTTACTTTGCTTATCAAACTTAATAAACTTGTATTAAAGTCACTTAACTTTTAATTCACTTTCATTATGATTAATGTCTTTAGTTACAATTAATAAATATTGATGTGATACGTTAAAATCTTCTTTAAAAAAACCCTAAGATTCATAATAGAATGAATGATTTGTTTGATCAGGAAATTAACATAGTTTGATTTCAAAGGTTGATAATGATAGTTTGAAAAGTTTTAAATTTTAGTTTTGATTATGAACGACTTGAGATGTAAGGAGATTGAAAGGTTTATTATTATTATTTTTTTTTATGAGTTGAAGTGAAAGAAAGAGAAGAAGAGTCAAAAAAAAATTATCGAACAGAGGCAAAAATGACTACAAAAAGAGACGATGAACTATTAAAAACTAAAAGTTAAATTTTTTATCTACCACTATTAACCGTCAAATAAATTTAAAGAGTAAATTATATTGTTATTCACTGAACTATACTTTCTCTCCTATTTTTCTTACCAATTTTTAATTTTTTTAATTTGTTCACTGAACTTTACGAATTGAATCAATTTGCTCACTCTGTCGTTAACTATTTAACGATGTTATGATATGGCACAAGAAATGACATAAGTATCAAAACGACGTCATTTTGAAAAACTCAAATATACATCAAATCGACGTCATTTTGAATATATTATAAAATCTTTTTTTATTTTTCATTTTTTATTTTTCCCTTTTTCTTTCTCTATTTTCTCTCTATTTTGCAATTGGTTGCCACCGCCAGCCACCATGCCATTTTCATTATGACCATCGTCCACTGTCGTTGATGGTGGCTGTTCGGTCTCAAATTTCATGGGTCAGTTCATCTTGACCCCCTGAGTATGAATCTTGTGGTTGTTTCCATCTCAAATTTGTGGACTTTGGAGCAAGTTCCGACAAACTAGATGTCGGATTTGGACTCACGGTGTCGAGGTGAAGCGACCCATTAAATTTTTTGACCGAATGACCACCATCTACGGTTGTCGACGGTGGCCGACAGTGACATCCGACCACCTTCAAATTTTTTTTATTTTCTCAATTTTTTTATATTAAAAAATAAAAACTGACACGTCAACGGTCGAGTGAGTAAATTGATTCAATTCGTAAAGTTCAGTGAGCAAATTAGAAAAATTGAAAGTTAAGTAAGGAAAATAGGAGAGAGAGAATATAGTTCAATGAAGAATGATATAATTTACCCCAACTTAAAATCGAATTATGTTAATCTTCTGATCTAATAAAATATTTCCTGTAACACCCTTAACCCGTATATGTCTCAATATATTAGTCAAAGATGTCACATCAACTTGAAAACATTTACTGAACTAAAATTTCCGTAAAAATTTGTTTTTTTTTAAAACACTCTAGATTAAAGTATATTTCAGCTTATAATTTATTTCTTTATTACAGGAAAATAAATTCATTATTTATTCAGTAATTTTACTAAACCATGCCTTTTCATAAAATCTTTTAAAAACATAATAATGTAATAAATTCTTGTCATACATAGATACCGATAAAACTAAACTAAGTAAAATAAACTAAAATAGTTCTAGTTTATTATTACAAATTATTTAAAATAAATACGATAATTAGAAACTACTGACATAATTATACATGCCACTATAAGTCAAAAGAAACATCATAGACGTCTTACTGATACTGATGATATGTATGTCTTTCCAGAAAGATGCTCCGATAGCTCCTTACTGATCGTACTTATCCTTATTAGAACCTACGCATGAAATCATCACGCGCTAAGTATAACTTAGTGAGGCAATCATAATCTAGGGTGAGTGAAATCTGAAATTTATCATAAACGTAAATAAAATAATTCAACTTAAAATATTAAACTGGCAAACCAACTTATCCAAGTCGATTTCTTCACTGAGACCTGAAATTTCTTTTTAAATCATGAACTCATGAAAATTCTGATAAATCATATCTAATAAAATAAGCACATCATGTTTCTTTTAACTGAAAATCATTCACAACTTGCATATTCATTTTCATAGCCCAATGCATATTTATAAGAACATAAGATGCGCGAGTAAGGTGCGCACTATGCACAACATGGTGCAAATCGTAACTGATATTGAGATATGATGCACTTCAGTGCCATCATAACTTGAATAAGCACCAACGGTGCTGGACATTGATACACGAATGTACCAAAGCTGATAGGATAACATTGATACACGAATGTACCAAAGCTGATATGATAACATTGATACACGAATGTACCAAAGCTGATAATACTCAACTAATGGCATGCCAAGTGTACCCATAATTCTCATTATACATACAATGGGCTTATGTGTCATAATTAAATCCATAATCAAAATATCATGCTTGGGCAGTTCATACCCTAAATCATTCATAAAATTGATATAAAATATTATAAAAATAATCTTTATAAATCATACTGTAAATTGGAATGAGGTTGACTGATCGCAAGTCATCCTCGATCAAAATAATTAAATAAATAACTGCATTCACCTTTGCCTTACTACAGAACTTGTATATAATAATCCTAGTCACGAGCTTTGTCCTTTCCTTTCGAATCGTTCGGATTGCTAGATTTAACGTAGTCTGACAATACCAAATTTTAAAACAAAAATTGTTCGAACTACATATTAGTATTGTACTAATATAAGCTCGTTTTAACATTTGAAAATCTATATAGTAAAATCGATAACTAAATCGATAACAACCAAACTCATAACTCCATTATAACTTCAACTTATCGAAACACTTATTCAATTCCATAAATAATTATTTTCAGCATGATTCTTCAACTGTTACGAATTATAAAATCTAACCACATATTTTAAATTCTTTCTAGAATTCAACTCAACTTTTCCTTTAATTTCATAATAGCTCTTCACTATTATGATTATTTCCCATCAAATATATAAAATTTCCAGCAACTAAAATAAAAGTTAAAATCAATAATTCAACACTCAAATGCTTACAATTTCATCCTAAACTTTCTTAGGCTTTTCAATTTCAACCTTACAACTTGATAAACTTAAAATTCAATCCCAACTTAATACTTAAACTCCAAAATCA